TGTGACTTTCTGTGCTTTCTTGGTGCCAGAAACATCAAACTAAGACAAACAAAAAGCATCACAGTTATGAACAGTTTCACTCCATTTTCTTGGGTCTAGTTCTTAAGAGAAATGTTCTGTCTATTCTCGGACTAATACCTTGTATTCGGTCAACGGAGACACATTCACTACACATTCACTCTTTCCAAGTAGATTTTCATGAGATGGAACTGTTTTGCAAAGCAGATTACAATTCTAAAACCGTTTTGCTCTGCATATAAATTTCAAAGAGCTTTAACTACTGTCCCGATAGAAAAGTTGGACATTTTCGATGATTATTATCTTTTTTCTTCTGTACAATTTGACTTCAACTGTGTTCAGCATCGAAATCATTAAACTGTCTTCCAATCAACCCCTAACGAGAAGCCATTTTCTTGAGAATAATATGCTTGGAGAATTTCTTTGTAGTAACAGCAAACATTCAGCGAGCACAATAAATCGAAATTCATTTTGTTCCACTTCTACACAGTGAGGCAAAACTGTTGCTTTATGATATTTGTTTGCATGCACTGTAAAAACTTCAAGCAATGATTGCACAACTCTTTTGCAATCTTTTCATGGAACGGAGACTGATGATTTCGGCGAAAGCAAATTCATGATCAACAACAACATGAATACGTCGTAATTCATGTTTTTTTCTTTTCTGTATAGCAACGAGAATATATTCTCTCATAGTATTTATTTGTGCGCACTACTGAAGTCCGAAGCGAACATCACACAAGCAGTTTACCTTTCTCTCACAGAACAGAAATAGTTGTCTTTTCTGTATGACAGATTCATGGTAAACATAGGCATGAATATATTCGAAATTCTTGCTTTTCTTGTGCGTAATAACGCGAAACTATTGCTTCATTGTATTTGTATGTGTACATTGTCGAAGCTCGAGCAATCATCGCGCAACCACTTGACAGTTCTTTTATCGAACGGAGACAGTAGTCTTTTATTATTACAGAATCGTGAAAAGCATGAGCATGAAAAATTTCAAATTCATTTTCTTATTTCTGCGCAGTATTACGAGGTTGTTGCTCTACGGAAGTTTTTTTTGCGTTTATAACAGAATAAGATTCAAAAGCATGATTGGATGTGTTTCGATTATTGCATAGCTAATCATGATTAGATATGTTTAGAATCTATTCGTACATAATATAGGTAGTGTATATAAATAAATTTTAATATTCGTCAATCTTTTGAAAAGGGGGTGACGTATATATAAATATTTAAGATAGCAAGCGATCTACTAATCTCAGTTGTTGTTTTTCAGAAATTGATATTTCTTGATCTAGAATGAGATAGTGATAAGTATTGATGCTTACGCCATTTAATGAAAGAGTAAAATGAATAGGTAATAACATTGATATGTTTCGCGTCATATATTTTTTTTAAATTAAATACGCATTTTTGAGAACAGTCGAGTAAACCATGTCGCGCTTGAAGAATGAACAGTTCCTAATACTATGAAAATTTTTCTAAGTGTACATGTTGCATTGAATCTTCTTGTTTCATGATGGCGCTTTTCTTGAGCCCTCATGATTATTATTCTCCAACAGTGTCTAGAAAAATTGCGTTTGTAATAACACTAAAAATATCCTAGAATCGTCAACAACACTTTTTATCATAGCTTCGCTTCAGGTAAGATTAATTTTTACGATTTTTTTTCTTTCCAGTTGATACAAAAGCAACTGCGCCTGAATAAACAATACGTTTGTTTCGAGTTTTATTTCGTTTCAACCGTTCGTCACTCGATGAAAATTACATGCAGATTTTCTTTCTTGCACAACGTCAGCGTCAATACCGACCCCTTCCACAACTGGGTAAATTTTCATTGGGAAAAAATAACACAGGCTATACAAGCAGCAGTATTTTGTTTGAACGTCCTTGTTGCTTTCGTGAAATTTTAGAATGTATACTACGAAAGGTGTTAGTACAATCCCTCTGGGATTAAAATGTAAAACACGATGTAGCTATTGCTACTAATCGAGAGAATATTTTTTTTTCTACTATCTACCTTAGGACCCAATTTTTCATCGTCTTTTACTTAATCTTCTGGAACTACAATCAGCAGGCGTTAATATATTTTCATTAGATGCAAGTGGCATATGATCACTAATTATGTATTAAAAACATCTGCTACTAATGGTGATCAGTCTGGAGCTCGTCTGTCACGGTCTGTGGGGTGAGGGCGGGCGTGCAAATTTCTATCCCTATACACTTCAACATCTCTTTTAGATCGTGTGTTTGTGAAACTTTAGAACGTATACTACAAAACACTGTTACGACAATTACAATCTTAAACGATCATCGGTCCATCTGGTAAGCATTTTCGTTCCATACATTCTTTCGTATGTGATACTTACCCTTATTCAATTCAAATCTACTGCATATTAAGGAAAACAGACTATCTCATTTTTTATTCGACAATGCCAGTGTCTGAGGATGCCTTCCATATATATATCGATAAAACTTCGAAAGGATTGGTAAGGTTTCAATAAGGTACAACTTGAAGAAGTCTTTATTCGTTTATGCTTCTCAACTGTAATATCTCTTTTACATCTGTTTATTAGTTGCTCACTTGATCTTTTAATAATAAATAGGACATTCTTAGTTGAAAGTAATTTTGTAACACTGATATAAAGATAAAAAGTAATATTGATATAATTGAACTAGAAATTATACATAGCGATTGTGTCCATGCTGTATTATGATTAATACATGCCGAAACTTCATTATAAAAATGAATAAAACAAGCAGTCGAACAAAAAATATAATCGATAATAGATATGAATAACATAAATAACCGATCATTGTGGATGTCGGTGAATGACAGATGTATGCCCATATCCAAACTCATATACCCACAAACGCATCGTACACTCTCACATCCACACTTTGATTGGTTTTTCAACTCCACAATAGTTTTCATTGTCATCCCATTTTGTACATCAATCTCTCTAAAAAGGCAAGCATCGTCAGTCCACATGTAAATTGTATGTACATCATCTTGTAAAGTGCTATAACTTCGTCAATTTTCTAGACATGTCGAGCAGTACGGCACAGACAAGCCTCAACTTTTCCTGGCAACAAGGAGGAAAGTTCAGTCATGTATTTCCTATCGATTTCACATCACAAGATCTCTATAAAGCCGTTGCTGCAAAACTATATCCAAATTTTATTCCGCCTGCAGATCAACCGGGTTGTGATAACAGGACTGTTTTTCCGTTCAAACTTCTTTACTTGGGTAAACCCATTCCACAAAATTATTCTAATCCTGAAGACAAGACCAAATTTGATGAAATGAAGAGAACCATGACTACAAAATCAACCATTCTGGTTGTTGAGCGTATGAACGGTGGCAGCAGTGATACCACCATGACTGACATGGACACACATGTTCGACGTTTTTTCGTTGAACTCAATGCCGAATTGAATAAGGTGGTCGAACATGCGAACACTAAGTGTCTGATATGTTTGTGCGTTAAGATCTGTATGAAAATACCTTGCGCGCAACCTTCCAAATGTCTCAACACAATTTGCAAAACTTGTTTTCCACATTATTATGCTGCAAAAAACTATTCCGTTTACTGTCTCGTTTGCCGGAAACCCAGTGATCTTGAATCTTTCCTCGCAAATGCCGAATTTAAAATGTTACCCGGTACAAGTGCAAAAATGGCGCTCAGTGAGCAATTCAAAATGTCTCATGCTCAATTCAAAGAATCAATCGAAATGACACGCTACATCGATTTTCAGATCTGCAAGTAAGTTTACATTATTTTTAAAATCATTTGGAATTTTGCATTTGTTTCAAAAATCCCAGTAACATCTCACGGCATTCTTAACAAATGAAGTGACTAAAGGGACTGTGTATTTCATCTCTGACAGCTACTCATATACACTAGATAAATTCATTTCGGGAAGAAGGAATTTTCTATGGATAATACTTGACATTTTCTCATCCATTATTTCAAAGAAGAAATGTATTGCTACAAGATTATCTACGTTATAAATTAACATTTTCAAATACAATAGCATCTAACTCATTTCCAGTTTAAATAAATTTTCTATTTCATCTCAAACGATTCCAAAAAGCATAAATTACTAAACTACACTGTGTACATAACTGTCATTTTTGATCAGTACTGTGAAGTAGAAAATTGAAGGTTATGCATCCTCCTTCTGAGACCCTGAGCATTTTTTTACAATATTTACAAACTAAAAGTCAAATATGATGTTGCTTCTTGTTGTCAAGAAATCTCTCAGTAAAGGAATGCGAGAAAACTGTGAATGCTCTGTGATGCAAGGTTAGTTCGTGTTTCGACTGAGCTCTTTTTTGTTGTTTCTAAGGTGTGGCACATATTTTGTCAATACAACAATGTACTCGCAACAAAACTGTCCGAAGTGTCAACGTTGGATGTGTTTCTTTTGCAATGAAAATTGGGACTCGAACACAATGCGAAATCAACAATACACATGTGGTTTGCCCACCTGTACGTATCAACAGTTGCTAGTCTTTGAAATGGAAGAGTCGGAGTCCTATAAAGGATTCTGGCTTCCATCCACACGCTGTTGTCCAAAATGTGGTACCTATGGAGGTTACGGAACGAAATGCAAGTTTAATGAATGTGCCAGTTGTAAACATTGGTTTTGCTTTTTGTGTTTAAAAAGTAACACAGAATGCAAAACATCATATGATAAGAAATGTGTCGAAACGCCAGTGCAGCAAACCTATACTGTTTTTCCTCGGATGGGAAGCTAAATAAGCTAGCAAATGTGAAAGTATTCAATTAACAGAATTGCGAACACTCTTTCTTTTGTTGTGCTTTCTTTCATCTTTATTCATAAAAAATATCTTTTTTTGCTTGAAAACAAAAATATAATAAAAAAAAAATTTCAAATCACTTCAATTCAATGTTCATGGCCTTTTAGATCAACGAATTTTAGTTTCAAAAAATTCTAGTAAACTTGTGATGAATTTACATCGAAGCACAAGAAAACTGAAACAACCGTCAAATGATGACTATGTTCTTCCAAAAAAGGCATCACATCGTTATGGTAGATCCATGTCTGAAAGCAATAATCGTGAGTACATATAGTTAATTTTTTAGTATTCCAAAAAAAAAAGACATTTTTATATTTCATTCAATTCATAATTATATATAATCCATTTGTTTAAATTAGAACCTACTGGTAATCAAATAAATGGATTTCAATTCACACAATGTGTCGCCACCAAATCATCTCATAGTGGTGGAATTAAAGGTTCTACCACGAATCCGATCATGCAAGTGCCAAATATTGATCGATCGACAAAACCTGTTCACAGTAGACGTAAGTACTTTTATGGGAGTTCTACTGAGTAGCACCAAATGTGGGTATACAGTGAAAAACTAGAGAACTTAAATCATTGATTATGAACTTTTATTCTCGTCATTTCAAATGGCCAAGTACTAAGCTTATACATAAACCAAGAAAACATATTACATATATTACGATGGACGTTTCTTTGACTTGTTGAACTGTAAGATTTAATTACCAACAAAATATGAATAAACTTCCAAGATTCCGATCAAAATAAGATATTCGAATAGATTATCAAAGTAGATATATTTACTCACGAGATCGTACACACCTTGTAACGTATTCTAGTATTTCTACAAAACGCCGTAGCACAGAAAACTATTCTTGGAATTTGTTCTCGTATTCTATTAGACATCATGAGATTGCACATGACTATGTCGATATCAGATTAAAAGCTAAATCTTTTTTTTTTGTGTAGCGATCCAAATAGAAACGTTGCCGGTAGATAATCATCATGATCAAAAAGAACATTTGACTTCAGTATGTAACAACACTACTTCCCAAAGCGTAACCACACACAGCTTATCACTGGTATATATCTATATTGGTTGTATTGTTTGAAAAAAAACAGTTCTCTATTTACTCTAGAATAAATACAATGACTCAAAACAAAATTATTCCCCTACTGCCGAAAAACAAGTATCGTGCATCAAAGGTGTTTGTGGTTTGCGAAACATTGGCAATAGTTGCTACATGAATAGTGCATTGCAGTGCCTCAACAGTATACCAGCGTTTGTGAACTTTTTCCAGAGCTATTCTAATTATGAAAAGAATGATCACCATCTTGTGCAAGCGTATTCCAGTTTGGTTAAAATGATGTGGTCCGGAAATGATATATGTGCGGCTGCTGATGGTGTGAAAAAAGAATTATGTCGGTTTACGAGAACTTTCTCTGATTATGCGCAACACGATGCACACGAATTTATGATTACCCTTATCGATGCTTTACACGACGAGTTATCGAATGGATCATCATCGTCAATCATTACTGATCAATTGCATATTAATATGAAATCGACAGTCGAATGTCTTACTTGCCACGTAAGTCAAACGGGAGATGAATCAATCAAGTTCCTGTCATTACCATTGCCTGATCATACGAAAGTGTCAGTCACTCTGTCCAGTCTGTTGGATTCATTTGAGAAAGCAGAAGATCTTGACGGGGAGATCTATTGTGATGTATGTCCTGCAATCGCCAAGGGTCGACAGCGAAGTACTTTACATGCTCCTTTACCCCCTATTATCATTGTTCAATTGAAGCGGTTCCCTTTTGATGGAACAAGTCGAAAAGTGGACACATTGATAGACTATCCTTACATCGACTTTGACTTTGAAAGACGAGGACAGAAAGACAATGAACATCTTTATGATTTAATCGCTATTTCGATGCATTCGGGTTCTCTTGATTTTGGTCATTATACAGCATTTGCATGGCACAATCCGACTCACAAATGGTACTACTTCAATGATCGATACTACGAAGTTATTGACAATGTGAACAAATTTCTTATCAAACGAGAGGCTTATTTACTGATTTATGCAAAGAAAAGCGTTTTAAAGCAATATTAATAAAATTGGTTAAATAATCAATCATATTTCTCTACAATACGAGCATGATCTTATACATCCATTGACAAAGAGTCAATAAAAAAGCTTTGTATATACATAGATAACACGCCTATTTTTGTTGACTATAACTTTATTATAATTTTAGCCATTTTTACATTGTATGCAAATCACATCGGTACAATATATACATAAAAGAAAATTCAGAACGTAATCAAAAAGTAAACATCCATTCAACTACAGAGAATCATTGTATGTTTCATTTTCGACGAATTCTATCATATCTAATAATTCCGTATTGTAAACTTCTTGATCAGCCTACATCAAGTACTAAAATAAATAAGGAAATATTTCCATGAGGAACAAACAATATATGACAAAACAAATACAATTTTAATATATAGAAGATAAGAGATTAAATTCAAAGCATCACACGACTGATTCCGTCCTTGCTTAAGGGACCATACGGGGCACGTTGAGAATTAATTATTACATAGCAGAATCAAAATTTGTTCAGATAAACTGAAAAATTAAGACTCAAAACGTAATAATTCCTATCAAATATTTTCAATAAAATAGAAGACAAGAGATTAAATTCAGAGCATCACACGAGGTTTCGGCCTTGCTGAAGAGAATATATAATAGATAAAAAGAGATTAAAAGCACCACAAGATAGCGATTTTGATCTTGCTTAAGGATCATTATCAGGTAAATTCGGTCATCTAATATTTAAATATTTATAAATATAAAGTTGAAATTCAAAGCATCACACGACGTTTCGTCCTTGCTTAAGT